ACAGTGACAATGAATATATTATTCAATATATTGGCATAAATTGATATAAAAGTGATTTTATATACATATATATGTATGTATACATATATATGATGTATGTATGTATACATATATATCGAAGCCAAGGGCTCATGCATGCTAGGCAAGTACTCTACCACTGATCTACATCCCCAGCCTTTTATGTTTAATTTTTTTAAACAGGATCTCACTAAGTTTCTGAGGATGGCCTCAAATTTGTGATCCTCCTGCTGCAGCCTCCTCAATAGCTGGGATTATAGGCATGCACCACTGTACTCAGCCAAGATAGATCCGTATTTAAAATCATTCTATTTTTTTTTTTACCTTTTATGTCCCATATTATGTGCTTTATATGCTAAAATACTTTATATGCTAAAATGTCTTATTTTTCAACTACCATGCTCTTTTGGCATCACAGGACTAATTCCCAATAGATTATATTCTGTTAAATGACCTCCTGCTATAGCATCATCATCTTAGAAGTTAACATCATCATGAATGTTCTTTCCATAAGTATATTTCCTTAATCTGCCAAAGAAGAAAGCAACTACTGTTGGAAGGTTTATTTTATGCTAGGCAATATGCTAGCTGGTTACATTGACAGTGTCATTGTTTTCTCTCCTAATAACTGAGTACCACTAGTGATGCAGTATCCATTTTACAGATGAGGAAATTGAGGTGCACTCTTACCACATTAAATAATATCCATGATCAAATCTATATTTTTTGAACCTTAGTGTCTCTTAATTGGGCTGCTGGTAGTGGGATGTCTTCTTACCTTGTCCTCAATTGCTGGGGACTGTGACCTTTATGGGATTGTTGGGTAATTTAGTAAAAACAGAAAACAATATTCTATGAGTACTTTCAGAAGACTTGTGATGGTGAGAACAATTGATACTTTCTCTCTCTGTCTTCCTTAAAAAGAATCAGTATTTTCAAAAGTGTTTATAGGTTAAGACTATTCTAACCCTATATCATTTCCAACTCATCCCACAATTTATAATATTGCCCTTTTGAAAGATGAGATGCCTGAAACTGTGAGTGGGCAACACCCCCAATAAGAGATATTTGTTCTCCAGACTCTTATCTGTGAACTTTTAATATGCACCAGCTGATCAATACCTTTTAGATTTCTTAAAGATAAAAGTGTTCCTAGTTGGGTTTCCATCTGTGTTCTGAATTTTTAAATAACTTCTTGTTGCTAACATTTCCAGGAAAGTATTAAAACAATCACTCCCTTCTCTCTTCTGTGTCTATCCTCTTTTATTTAACTGGCTCTGTCATTCCAGAAGTGCTCATCTCTAAATTAGCCAACATTTTCTGAGTGCCTATTATATGACAAGTAGGATATTATACAGTAAACATACAATTGAGAGGAGATATGGTCTCTGATCTTAAATAGTTCATATTGAGGAGCACAAATAGAAGATAAATAATCATACAAATATAACAAACAACAATAAGTTTCTGAAAAGAAGGTATAGTGTTCTTTGAAGACATTTAATAGCATTGTAATTAGCTTTTTTTTTTTTTGCCTTTGTGACTAAAACACCTGGCAAGAATAATTTTACATGAGAAAAAGTTTGCGTGATGCTCACAGTTTTAGAGGTCTCAGTTCTTAAATGGCTAACTCCATTCTTTGGGGCCTGGAGTGAGGCAGAACCTCATGGTGCAAGGGCATAGTGGAAAGCACTGCAGAACATGTTAATCAGAAAGCAGAGAGAGCTCTTCTCACCAAGGACAAAATATAAACCCCAATGTCACACTCCAGTGATCTACTTCATCTCGCCAGTTAATCCCCATCATTGGATCAATCCACTGATGAGGTTATGACCCTCATAATCTAATCATTCACCTCTGAACATTCTTGCATTGTCTCACACATGAACTTTTGGGGACATCACATAGCCACAGCAAATAGGATTACTGGACTTTTACTGATTGTTTAAACTCTGGTTTGAACTATAAGTTAGAACCAAGTGAGAGGGGGTGGTTCCTAACAAAGGAAACTGTACATCTAAATGCCTTAAGACAGAGGGGAGGAAGGCCATTCAAGAAACTACATGGACCAGTGTAGGTATTCAGTATAGAAAGAGAGGAGAAGTACATAGGGGTCAGATGCTGGGCCTTTTAAGACATTTTAAAAATTAGACTTTAGATTTATCATGAATGAGAAGATTATAGAAAAGTTGTAAGTGGGGCATTACATGATGAGATTTGTATTGTGGAAAAATAGTATGGATACTAGATTAGAGGAAGACAAAATTGGTAGAGGTGGAAGTCAATAAGCAGGCTACTTCTGTGGTCCAGGCAGGAGATGTTATTCCTGCTTGGACTAGGAGGTAGCAGTGAAGATTAGTAGATAGAAACATATTCAAAAAGTTTAGGAAGTATAGAGTTGATGAATTAGATATGAGGATTGGGGAGAGGGAAATTAAAGGACAGCTTCCACATGTCTGGCCCATACAACCAAGTGATGGTCATGCATGATAGCCAGATTTGAGAGGGACAACAAGTTTGCTTTTGGATATGTCAAATTGTGAGTGTCTTTGAAGAACCTAGGGCACTACGTTAAGCAGGCAATTGAAAGTGCAACTCAGTTAGAAGTTCTTGGATTGAGCTGTACTTGGGAATTATTAACCCTATTGCTGATAATTAGAACCAGGATTAAGACAAGCCAGTCTTATGAGATGCTTCACCCCATCCCCACTAGCCTCTGTATGAAGTACTGTACATGTCCTATATACTTAACCCCCAGTTACTCTTAACTCCATTTTCATCTGACTCTTACCTCTACTGTTCCACAGAAACTGTTATTGCCAGGGTCACCAGTGACTCCCTTAGTGCTGCACACAGTCTTTATATTACTTGAGTTCTCTGTAGAGTTAAAAATTGTTAACAAACCCTCCTTAAAACTTTCTCATCTTTTGGATTTTGTAATATCATTGAGTTTGGATTTTCTTTTGCCTCATTGGCCATTCTGGTCCATCTTCTTTATGAACGTTCTACCTGATATTTCCCAGGGCTATGTTTTCTTTCTACTACACTGAGGGATGGAAAATTCAAATATCTTTAGGGTCCAGGAAATGAAAATGAGTGAAGTAGACAGTTTTCATATTAAACTTGTTATATAATGAACCTTTATTTGCATAGCAATCCCTTTATACATAAACAGAAATATTTTTTACTTCTGCAACCTTCCATGTAATCCAAAGGAGCCAGATCATTCCATTTTTCAACAGAGATGGAAATAGAGATTTTTATATGAAATATCTTAACTTTTCTTATTTTGATTGTTGTTTCAATTCCATTTCACTTTTATACACTGTACTAGACATAAAACAAAACAAAACAAAACAAAAACAATCAGAAAGGAAATGTCAGAAAGCCTTTTTTGGCTGTTAGTTTGACATCTCTCCTAGAGCAGGGCCATCTGTTCTCATGATTTTAACCACCATTCTGGGTTCATGATTTCCAAATCTGCTTTTCAGACCTACAAGGGCCCTGCTTTCACCTTCTTAATAGTTATTTTCCCCTGGCTAACTGAGAACTCCCTCTGGTTTAGCCTCTCTTCTTTCCTCTTAATCCATTCCTATTCTGTCTACTCACCCAAACTAAATTAGTCCTTCCCTCACCATCATACCCAATCAATAAAGCAATTGTCTTTTTAATGTCTTTCAAAGGAACCTCTTCACCTTGTCTTTGTATGTTATTTCCACTATTTTTGTTCAGGTCTCAATTACCTATTATCCCCTGATTGCTACAATAATAATGGCAGGCCATGTAGCATAGTAATTGAGAACAGGGAGTCTGGAGACAAACTGCCTTGTTCTGCCAGTTATTAGTTTTGTAAACTTGGATGAATTCTTTAACTTTTGTGAGTCTCAGTTTCCTCATCTGTTAAATGGATATAATCTTAGTATTTACCTCACAGGGTAATCATAAGATTTAAATGAGTTAAAGCACACAATTCACTTAAAATGAAGCAAAGTTTACTATTATTATTATTTACTTCCTTCCTTTCTCACAACATATATTTATTTTTTACACTTGTCCCACTGCATGGAAAATTTTGTGTATGATTCTTTCCTCCACTAGAATTAGCTCCTTGGGGGTTTGGACTGTACTTATTCATCTCTGGATCCACCAAACCTGGCAAAATTCCAGGAACAAGTAGATACTCAGCAAACATTTTTTGACTAAATGAAGAAAATTTGAACCTAAATTTCTTCTTCAGTTAAATAATGATTTGAATAACTGTTCCACCTGATGGGATCATTGGAAAGATGAAATGGAAGAATAGATGCAAAAGTTCTTGGAAATTCTATGCATATATCAGATTGTAAGGAATTCATGGTAGCATTTTGAATGTGTCTCTTTTGGAACTTTGCAGGACTTATTTATACTTCCATTATCTTTGGGTAGCAATTAGAGACCTTTTTAGAAGCTTTAGTCTATATTTTTCTAGGTCTTTGGTTGAATTACTAGGAACTGTTTTAGGTACAGAGAAAAATGTATGCAATCACACTAGACTGTGGGGCTCAGAAACATTGCCCTCACAGTCCACAGAATGAGAATCCAAGGTCTGGCTACACCCTCCCCAAAGGAACTTACAGTCTTCATTAATTGCAGGAATCTTTCTGAACCTGTCATGACCTATAGGCTTCACAAAGAGCTGGTCTCTGCTGCCAGTAAGTATTTATGTTACTAGTTATTGTGTTGTTCTGGTTCCTTAGTAAGGTTTGCAACAATAAATTTTGAAAACTACTTGAGGGACAAAAACCCAAAACACAGATTTTGCCCACTGCCAAATGAGAATATTCCTGCTTGCTAACTCAAGAGTTATATGATTTTTCATAAATCAATGTTAGCTGAGTTGGTTGGAAGAAATTGGCTAACTTGAAGGATGTGACAGGTATAAAGATTTTGGTTTATTTATTTATTGTTTCTTACTTCAAAACAAGAGAATTGTCTCACATTAACAAGGGACAGCAAAATGGTTACATTACAACTGCTGTTTCAGCTTCCTTTAGCACTTTGCCTTTTCAAATGCCTTTTCAATTATGTTGTGAGTCCTTACTCTTAATCTGTTAGCACAAGATCACATTTTCTAGATATGAAAAATGAGGGTGATGATAGAGGGATATATGTGAACTAGGATATATAGAGTCACCCCAAAGATTGGCCATTAAGGAAGCATTAGCCATGTTGGGTGAGACCACTTTATGACTGTCTCTCCTGCCTGTACACAGCCTTTATCCTTCATGGTGATCTGTGTAGGGAGAATGATAAGGATTCAGGGGATTTGACCTCTTGACAGGTTTTTGAGGCGAGGGAGCCTTGCTCAGTGCTTCTGGGCTCTCTCATTGATTTTCATAAGAACCCAGAGGCAGCAACAGTACCACAAGGAAGGTCGGTGAGAAAGGGTTGTCAAACAGAGGGATTTTAGGAACAATCTGCTGTGGCTAGAATTCTGATTGCCTTTAAAACAGCCTTATCATCTCCTCTCCTTCTCCTCTTCTATCTTCAATTTTTCTTCATCTTAAAAGGCCTATTTTTTCTCTCTGATTTTTGTTCTCTTTCTTCTTGGACTCTCTTTGTCATTGTCTCTGTACCTATTTATCTCTTCATCTTTTTGATTCTCTCTGTGTCTCTGGTTGTCTTTCTCTGTATCTGTGTTTGTGTGTGTGTCTCTGCTTGTGCGTTTGTATGTGTATGTGCATATGAGAGTTTGTTCAATGCAATTGCCCACAAAGCCAAACATCTTTCACACTCTTCTTTCTGACAGAGTCTGATAACCTGGATTATCGGCTAGGAGCTATTCACTCCCTGGTTTATAAGCTACCAGAAAAGAACCGTGAGATGCTGGAACTTCTGATAAGACACTTGGTCAAGTAAGTAACTGTGTAGTTTTCAGAAAGAGTTCCTGTTGGAGGAGGACTGGGTCACGTGGGAGAGCTACAGAGAAACTGTCTCTGCTCCCAACTGCTTCCTGGTCAGGCTGAGTGCTATGTGAGGAAGGTGATTTTGCCTTTACCATTGTGTGTATCTTCTCAGAGCCATCATGTAGCTAGATTGTCTTAGTTGAAGACACTCAGGTAGTTGGACTGGGAAGAGGTTTTACTACCAACACTCAGGTAGTTGGACTGGGAAGAGGTTTTACTGAGAGATAAACCTGGTTTTGAATCCTAGCTCTATAACTTATTTAGCTGGGTAATCTTAGTCAAACTGCTCTGAGACTCTATTTTGTCATCTTTACAATGAGAATAGTAATGCCTACCATACAAGACTTATGTATCAGAGTGAATACAGCTATCCAGGTGCACATCTGTAATCTCAGCAACTCAGGAGGCTGAGGCAGGAGGATCACAAGCTCAAGGCTAGCCTTAGCAATTTAGTGAGACCCTGACTGAAAAGGAAAACAACAACAAAAAGAAAACCTAAATTGGGCTGAGGATATATTTCAGTGGAAAACTACTTATGGATTCAATCTGCAGTACAAAAAACGAAAACAGAAAAGAGTAAGTAATGCCAGCTTGGCATGGTGGTGCATGCCTGTAATCCTAGCTACTCAGGAGGCTGAAGCAGGAGGATTGCAAGTTTGAGGACAGCCTGGGCAACTTAGTGAGACCGTATTTCAAAACAAAAATAAAAGAATTAAAAGTCTGTGGTTATAGGTCAGTGGTAGAGTGCTTGCTTATGCATGAATAAGCCCCCTGGTTTCAATATGTGGTACCTCAAAACAAAACCCAGTGAACAGAGGTATAGCATATGGCACAGGCACATAGGTGACTCTCAACAAATGAAAGTTGTTAAGATTTTGGTCAATTTCTTGCCCTGGTGGCAGAAAGAAACAGCATTACAGACAGTAAGCCTGGTGATAGGCTCTGAGATAGGTGGGTGAAAGGGGCACTTGTGCCCCACAGTGGTGTTTCCTGGTCAAAGAATTTAGTGTTGTAAATAAAGATGAATTTACCTGGCTCAATAAAATGTGGAAAGCACTGTGTTCAGGAGTCAGCATGCATGGATTCTGGTTTCATTTCTGCTGCTAGCCTGCTCAGCAGGCAGGTTAACTCTCAAGGCTTCTCCTGGTACATTAAACAGTTTGGTGTAAGCTTAGAGGAATTGCAATGCATTTAAAACATATATTTAGCAAATAAAGTTGTCCTTATTAAAAAATGTAATCATGAGACATTTTAACCTTATTTGGAGAGGACTTCAAACACCTAAACTTGAGTCCTTTAGTGAGGGTGAGCCTCTGGCTAATGACCCTCTCAGCACCCCACTGTGAGAGATTCTGAGCACTCTGTCCATCTGGATTTCAGGTCTTTCTATGATATCTCACCAAATATCTAATCCAGGTTGGGCTTTTTCTAATTTTGAATTTTTTAACATTTCCTTAGTAAATGAGTATTACATACACTTATATAGATAATAAGTATAATTTACAAGAGGATAGCGTTTATATTTATATTTATTGCCAATGTTTGCATTTTAGCCTAATATACAACATTAAGGGATGTTTTATCTCCAAAAAGTAATTTGTGGTCATCTTAGTAAAAGTAGAGAAGTAAGAAAAAATAAAATAAATAATAGAAAATATGCATGTTAATTTGAAATTTCCCTGGGCAAAGAAATATTGGGTTCAAGTTACACTTTTACCTTTAATTTATATGTGATCAAAAGAAAGTATCTCCCATTTTTTGAACCTTAGTTTCTTCATGTGAGGGTACAGGATCATATACTCTTTAAAGACAATTTAAACTGTGATTTTATAAGTGTCTCAACATGTGACAAGAGCCAAGGACTCATGAAAATGTCCCTGTTGGTAGTGGGTAACAGGGTGCCTGCTTCCACCCATCCAGAGGCTAGCCACCTGGCTTACTTCAAAAATCTTGGTCCTCAAAATCCATAAAACAGCCAGGCGCAATGGCACCCATCTGTAATCCAGGCAGCTCAGAAGCCTGAGGCAGGAGGATCGCGAGTTCAGAGCCAGCCTCAGCAAAAGTGAAATGCTAAGCAACTCAGTGGAACCCTGGGGATGTGGCTCAGTGGTTGAGTGCCTCTGAGTTCAATCCTGGTACCAAAAAAAAAAACCCAAAAAACAACAAAAAAATACCAAAAACCCCAAAAACATAAAACCAAAAGAGACATGAACAGATTAATCACAGAAAGACAGGTGCCTTTAAATATGTGGAAAACTACTGAAGCTCACTCATTAGTAATAAAGATGCAAATTAATCTTACACTGAACTATCATTTGTTGGCAAATTCTAGTGCACAGTCTCTGTTGATGAGACAATAGGGAAACAGGCATTCAGATACATTGCAGTACTGATTCTCTAGAGTCTCAAAGGAAGAGGATTTGGCAATATCTAACAAATTTGCATATTCAGTTACCCTTTGAAGTAGCAATTCCACTTTCAAGCAACTACTTTAAAGACACACCTCCACAGATACAGAACAGAAAGTGTACAGGGTTTGTCACTGCAGCATAATTTTAATAGCAAAAGGTTGCAAAAATGAACTTGTAGAGTAAATGAGGTTACATCTGACCAGGCAGTCTTGTATGGTCATAAAAAACAGAAAGAGGTAGGTATAAATTAGAGTACATAATATGCTAAAGTTTTTATAAGAAGAAAGAAGAAAACAAGAATATGGAAACACTCTACATATCTATACACATATTTTCTTATTTTGTCAAAAGAAGTACAGTAAATTATTTTAAAAATGACTCTCTAGAATTCCACTCAGTGGTATATATCCAAGATAAATGTAAACACATTGTCTTTCAAAATCCTATGCAAAATGCTCATAGCAGCATTATCATAGTTGTCCAAAGGTGGAAAATTTCCCAATATCTATCAGTAGATGAATGGATGAACAAAATATCATATATTCCATACAAAAGAATACTATTTAGCCATCAAAAGGAATGAAATACTGATTATACATATATGGTATAATATGGTTGAACCTTGAAAACATTATGCTAAATGAAATAAGTCAGACACAAAAAATCCACATGTGAATCCATTTACATGAAATAATAAATCTATAGAGACCGATACAAAGTGGATTAGTGGTTGCCAGGGGCTGGGAAGTGAGGAAGTGAAAACTGACTGATAATGGGTATGGGGTTTCTTTTTGGAGTAATGAAAATTTCTGGAATAATTAGACAGAGATTACAGTTGCACCATTCTGTGAATATACTAAGAACTATTGAAAAGAGGGGGATATATGGTATATGAAATTTATCTCAACAAAGTTATAAAATTAAACAAATAATATGTTTGTATAGGGAATCAGTGGTAAATAATGCTGAAGGGGAAGGGATAACAAGCTAGATTGCTCTAAGTCTACCTCCTTATATGATTTTGACTTTTAACTCATATTGATGTTTTTCACACCCCAAACTAACATTAAATCAAAAAGAAAAATATTATTAATCCTAAAACTGAACACCAAAAAAGTAAATGAATCTAAATGTTTATCAACTTGAGAACATAATCACATAGAGAAAGCCGTTATTTCAACTAATTTGTCAACACAGTCTATGATTCATCCTTCACAAGATATGCTCTAAAAATAAGAAGAGCTATTAGAAGTTTTTAACATGATATAGTAGAACTTTCTTTTTGCAGTGATATAATTATGATTTGAAATGTATATCTCACAAGGATAGAATAAAAATAAATGTATTAAAGTTGTTAGAAGCCAAGATTTATGGTTTAAGAAAAGATAAATATATATATAAAATTAAAGATGTAAAGAATTTTTTTATAGCATTACGGTAAAATTGGGAATGTCTATATGAATTTATAATTTAAAAATAAAACAATAAATCAAAACTTGTATTCATTGTACCAGTCTTGAAATGATTCTACCCAAAAAGCAATGCATACACTTAGTGTTTGATTTCTTTGGTTATAAATTGCATTCCCTTTTCAAAGGCACCAGGCATGCTTAAGAAATGGCTGAGTTTAAGTATATATGAAGGAAAGTAAGTTTTATCCAATACAGTTGGCTAAGGAAGGAAGACTTGAAACGCTAATAGCAATCATATCCAAAATGGACATAAGAACCTGCTTGAAAGGACTAACACTTGATGACATTTGGAGGCAACATGAGTAGCAGCATATGATATTGACCCATAAAATAAACAAAAACTCATGGTGTTGGTAAAAGAAAGAAAAATGTTTATTATATAAGAATACTGGCTAATAAATGTAGGAGAAAAGATAGAAATTGAGAAATCACTAATTTGCAACCTTACTACCCTGTTTTAGAGATTGATCAGAACTATTAGGTAAGAGAATATTGAGAAACAGTATAGTCACATAATTTCAGTGTATTACTCAAAGGTTAATTACTAATTGCAAGTGGAAATAACAGATCTTTACAGTGAAGCCACGTTATAGACACCACTTTTAAGTAATTGATCAAAGTTAGTATCACTGATAATGGTATAAACTGATCTCATTTGCCCCTTAATTTGATTTTGTGAGAAGTATCAAGCATGATCTGTAGGATATGTTTGTAAAAAATGTTTAACCTGATTTAAATTAAGTCTGTCCAGTGTATAGGCAATAAAAATATAGAAAAATAGAGAGTGTTTGACATTTTATGAGAGAATGGGCTTGGACTTATCAAAAAGTCAATGCCACGGGGAAAAGAGGTAGGGATACTGTTTTACACTAAGAGACTAAAGAAACAAACAAATTCAGTACATGAAATTTGGATCCAAATTTGAGCAACTTAATTATAAAAGACATTTTGTGTGGCATTTGAGAAAATCTGTACATGAATTGGATATTAGATGATATGGAAGTACTGTAAATTTCCTTAGATGTGAAAATGTTACTTTGATTTGAGGGTAAAGATGCTTGTTCTT